AATCAATCCTAGTTAGTTAAATCCTGAAGGATCACTAACCTTTCCACCTGTAACAGGTAAAAACTGGGTCTAACCAATCCTGATTAGTCTAAGCTCGAAGCCAATATCTATAATGCACATTATTATCTTGGCAATGGTCTTTAATTCTAAAATTGCGTCAGTGTAAGGAGTCCTAATGTCGTAAGCAGTGTAAGGAGTCCTAATGTTGTACTACTAGCAACACTTGTAAGTACATTCAGCAACACTTGTAAGTACATTCAGCTATCCACGAATTAGCTATATTGTTGTTACCGTGAACGACCAAAACCAAGAGAATGTCGACTTTCACCGGTGAATGTCAACAATCATCTAATCGCTTTGTTGATTGTCCGAAATAGTTGTTATATTCGATTTGATATTAATTTATTCATTGATATTATGATATTTATTGGATATTTTAATATCTGCTGAGGATAAATTAAAAGAAACATCACTGTTAGGAGTACCGGTTATATGTCTGCCGGGCAGTGGCATTTGACTGTACCTAGTATATATTTGGGACATTTTCCAAAGCGACTATGTGATTGTCAACATAACATTCTCTCGTGGAATTTAACAACCACCAATTTTGGTCATCCACAGTAACATTGTTACTGCAAGACAGAGAATTGCAATAAATCAAGTTATGCTTCAAAATAAACAAAATGGCAAAAGTGGCACTTAAAAATGCGTATATTAAATGAGTAAAAAGACTATTTTTGTGTCCTTCAAGCGATTTAAAGACGGAAAGGAAGAAGTTTCTCGAAATTGCACAAATCCAATAACGTTGATTTGAGTGTAAAGTTTGAGGACAGCAGCTGCGCAAATTATGCCAAAAGTCTGTTGTTGCTAATGGCAATTACTTTATAGAGTCAAGAAGGAATTTTGTACATATTGTTTTCATTCTATTATGACATTTTCCGTAAGAACCTCGCTAAATAAATAAAAAATAATTGAATTGTTTTATCGTTAACAATTTCGGGTCCTATTAAAATTCGTAAAGTTCAAATTAAAGCTTTATTTCATTTTAAAAAGAAAAAAAGAAACGAAATCCAAATTATCTCAAAATACGGCAAAAAAATTCCCCACGATAACTACATATTAAATTCAGTTTTGTGACAAGCTGCGTTAAAAAAAAAAAGTCTTCTATGATATTAAGTTCATTTATAAGCCACGGCAAAAGTAAAAATTTCAAAAGCGCATGTTTATTCTTTTTCTCCCCCCTTCTAGGGTAAATATAAATCTTTTTTCCTTCCCTCTCCAAACAGGTTTTGATCATAAAATTTCAATCATAAAGAATGAACTTGCTTAAAATTCTACGTTGATTTTTCCCGACGTTAGCATTTCTTCTTCTGTGTCCCCTAACTTATTTTATATTCCGATTATATTATCTTCCCCTTTTTTTTCTCTGTCCAAAACCACTATTTTCCCTCTTTTAACATATTTCATTTTGACACTAAGCGGAGCTTCAAAAATCACTCCTTTTGTGCACATTCGATTAAGAAGTCTGTCTTGATCAGCATTTTTACCTTATTTTTATGCCATTTTTATACCCTTTTTTTCTTCTGCCGTACTGGAATTTAATCAGACCCCATTTTCCAAGAGATTTAGCCTTAACAGACCGCTGCGTCAAAATGTACTTTCAAAATGACTAATACTAAGTGTATTAAAGGCACTAAATGAAATTAGAACTTGTTTAACTTGAATTATTATTGAGTTGCTCAAAAAATTAGTTTTCTTCGGTGTTTATAATAGAGCTTCAACATAGCTTTCTGATATTAATCAGTAATCTTAATAAACGTAAAGCTGCTTTATAATAAACCATTATTAAAAAAAATAATAAAATAAACAGAAAACGAACAAAATTACGTTTAGCGATAAAGATGATAGTGTGGCAAACTAAAAGGAATCGTAGCCGAAGAATTTGAAGGTTATTTCAAAAATAAAACTTGCAGGCGATTCTAAATTACTTTGGCAATTTGCCAGATGTTCCTTTAAAACTTTAAAATGTAAAAAAAAATATTTCGCCGAAAGGCGATCACAGGTACCCATTAGCAAAATGGTTGTTGTGTAATTTTTTTTCTTGCTTCAACTCTAACCTTTGGGATGGTGTCAATCAGTTTGGGGCCCTCTTTATTTGTGATATTCACCTAAATTAGTATTGAAAATGATCCAATTGGAACTGTGGGACAGAATTTCTGATTCTTAATTAAAACAATAAGAACAAAAATATCGTTCAATTGATGAAATTCTCTTTTATTCACAACTCAAGGAGTATTTATGGTACCTCTCTGGTCCCATATCTCAAAAATAAACTCACCAACTTAATGCATAACGAAATTAAAAGTGAAAAAAAAAAGAATTCTAAAAACTATTATCTAACAACTGCGGTCGCCATAGCAACGCATGCAATGACGACGCATGCGCCCTGCTTACTATTACTCTTGAATACAGTTGAAAAGTGTCATGACGTCCAAATAAGATGCGCACGCAATCAAATCCAAAACAAGACCCATTTTTTCCAATGGGTAATAAATTTAAAGTAAAAATTTTTTTTAACCAAAAATATATACGGTTGATAATATTTATATATCAATCTCATTCAAAGTAATATAATTTAACGATAAATTTTTAGGAACGTTAAAGAACTTTGAAATGAATCCGCTCTGTCCTGCTCTGCGATACCCCTCCCTCAAGTACTCATTTAAGCACTTTCATCGATTCTTAACTCGAATGTTATTACTTTTGTCATTATTTCGATTCCTAAGTACTCTTAGAAGGAATGACGAAATTAGTTACAGATAGCACATGGAGAAGCATAGATAGCAGATTTGAGCAGTTAAAGCAAGATACTGAATATGTGTGTTTGTTCTCATTTCCTTACATGTATTACTTACATTCCTTACATATTTCTGTTATTACTGATGTTTTATCCTGATTTTATTGCAAAAATGATAGTACATAGATAATAAAATAAATCGTCTATTTTAAGCTGTTAATAAGAAAGGTTTTAAGTGATTATTTCAAAAAAATAAAAAATAAAAAAATTAATTTTATTGAATCCAGAAAAAGATAGAAAGATGAAATTCCTTTTCTTTCAGTTGATTGCAAGCAGTTGGTTTGTGATTTAATTTATTGTAAGCTATGATTAAAAATAATCTCTTTGGTTTATTTCATAGCAAAAAACAATAGTTTGTTGACTACTTAAAATAATTCTACGTTTCTGGTCGAATTATAGGTAGGAGACTAATTAAAACTTAGTTGGTTTATCACATAAAATTGATAGTTATGTGATTTTCTAAAGTGAAACCCTACTTTTAGTTTTTTACGTTAAATAAAAGTTCGGCTTATATTTTTATTTTAAGTCGACCTTAAGTAAATGATGGCTATAAGAGTAATGAGAAAAATCTTCACTTTTTGTTGCTTACAAAAATATAGTCGACTAAATAACGATCAAAAGTCGGGTGGTTTTTGGTTGTTTACAAAAATATGATAGTCAGGTGACCAATTAAAATGATACTGTTATTTTTGATTGAATTTATTAATATTTCTCTCTATTTTTGGTTCCTTAAAAAGAATGATTTTAAAAAAATCCTCACTTTTAGTTGATTACCAAAAATATAGTCGGGTGATTTTTGGTTGATTATAAAAAATATAGTCTGGTGATTAAGAATCAAAAGTCTGGTGATTTTTGGTAGGTTGAAAGAAATGATTGTCAAGTAACTAATTAAAATGTTTTGATTATTTACAAAAAATAATAATTGATACCTCTCTTGGCATTTGGTCATTAAAAACGATGACTGTCATGTGACCATCAATCAAATTGAAACTTTCTTATTACTCACAAAAAATGAAAGATGGATAACCATTTGAAAAAAAAATCTATTCCTTTATGTGAATTAAACAAAAATTAGTTGAATTACTGATTGAAAAAAATGCGATAAGAAGAAATATGGATGAGTTGTTCCATGTAAATGTTTGTCTTACTACACCTTGAGCACACTCTTGGGTATTCCCTCTGCGTCTTCTTCGAGGATGGTCGTTATATAGGAGGGCTGTTCGAACTTTGGTGGAAGATCGTTGATGTCTTTGATCCTCACCACTACGAGTGTGCTGGATTCTCTCAATGTGTCAGACGCGACCAGCGTCAGGTTGTACTGTTTCGTTCAGAGACAGAAAGAAAAAGAAACAAAAATCACATGCACGACATGCAAAAAGAAAAAAAAAAGGCTACAGGAAAAAAAAACAACAACTGAAATAATAATTTAGAATGCAACATGCAATCTCTTTCATCATTGAGATGAAGTATGTCCAGGGTTCTCTTCCATTATGTTGAACTTTTGATAGATCTGTTAAATCAGTGATCTCCAAACTGTCGATCGCGAGCTACTAGTAGCTTAAGGGGACTTTAAATACATATAAGCTAAATAATGACTAAAATATACGAACAATATGGGCCACAGATATCTAGAGTATATTTATTTTAAACAGGAATATAGTTTGTTTCTAAATCTTTTACTTAAAATTGATATTAAGAATTGTGAACTATTTCTTGTATATATCGTAGGCTAACTAAAAAATTCGCTTCTTTGCAAATGTGGCCATCATTTTACAATGCCCTAGACTAATTGGAAACTCTACACTATTATCAATCCATCCGGATATTGTTATGCTTAATACAATCATCCCAATATGCCCTTAGGCTAGGTGGCATAAATTATTGTAGTGTTACTGAAAATGGAATGAAAAAGCAGTGTTAAATGTAAAAATTATTGTATGTATAGTTATATATTCAATTCGATCAATTTTTTGATTTGTTAAACATCCTTATAACACGAGACAGGACCCCGTAACAGACATCATCTCAATGATCTAAACAAATAAATAAGAGGAAAAACAAAATTAAGTGGGCGTGTCCAGGCAGGCAGCATTCCAACTGAAAAGGAAAGGTATGTAGGTAAAACAACAACAATGGAATGGACCTGTAGGACACGCTTGGGCAGGTTCCTGTCGTCCTCCTCCGTGATCTGTGTCTCGTAGGTGGGTCTGTCGAACATCGGAGGGTTGTCGTTGACATCCTTGATGTGTATCACCACTGTCGTGTGGTTCTCGTTCAAGTTGTCCGAAGCTACTAATCGCAGTTTGTACTGTAAACACACACATATTTCACCATTATACACCCACACATTAACTGCCAAATGGTAACATGACATACCAATTACCTTTGCTAATATATACCATACTTACCGTTTCATCTATAATAATAAAGGATGTTAATACACTTTTACAATCATGTGCAATTATTGAACTTTAATTTTTTTTATTGCAACTTAAATATTAAATTGCAACAATACAATTTAATTATATTATTAATATTACAATTTAAAATAATATCAAAATTGTCCCTGTTTCAATGGCATATAATTAAACGCTAAATGAGTACGAGTAAAACGTAGCAGTATAAGTAAATCTAAGAATTTATAGTAATTATACAAGTAGTTGATCTTGCCTCCTTAGGGTGTGGGGATTTAAAATCTGAACTGAGTTTTGCTCCTTAAGACACATATTTTGTTAAATGAAATTTTTAGCTAATTTTTGTCCTAATGCACAAGTTTAAAATCGTTATATATATAATTGGTCCACATAAATATTGTGACAAACTTCTAGGGGAGTTTTGGTACATCATCAGGATTAAACCGCATAGGAACCCATGCTCGGAAGGCGGTTAGGGGTACTTCCCTACTATGAACTGTTCATAGGAACACGACGAAACAATTCATCATAAAGAAGAGCCCCTAGCAGCATATAACCCTTTCGGGCATGCGTTCCTATGCAATTTTAATTCTGGTGGTGTGCTTGAATGAACTCCCCTACAAGTTTGTCGCAACATGTACTCGACTCTCTACTATACATAACGTTTTTAGACTTGTACATTTGGACCAAAAATTTACTGAAAATGTCATTAAAAAACGTAGCTTGGCGAGAGAAGTTGATTGCAGATTAGAAATCAGCGATACGAAAGTATTTAAGATCTGTTAAAAATCTCATGCCACAAAAGAAAATATTGTTTCCCAGTGTTATAAACATTAATTTGCCTTAATATAGTTTACTATATACTCAAGGAAGCACCTGTGTGTATTATTTGAATGAAATTTAAATCAGTTAAAAAATGTGTAAATGAATAATTGGATGTTAGGGACATACGAGAGAGATATTCTAGTTCACAAATGTTCTATTTTGTTTTGTTTATGGACAGAATTTTAAATTAGACTTTTCAGATCTTGATACTCAACACCTCTTATCATATTTCGTTGGGTAGATCTTTCGATAAGGAGAGTAGGGATATATAGATTAGGATTTCGATTTTAAATAATATTTTATTTCGTTTTTTTGCTTAAAAAAATCTTCAGGAAAAATGTTTATTTTTCTTCCTTAATTTAGGTTTTTCATGAGTATTACAAAAATATTTTACACAACAAAATTACAAGCAGCTGAAAAGTGCAAAATGCATATTGTTTTTTTTAACATTATGTATTATAGAAATTGAATCTAAATCAATGCCAACAATGCATAATGTAAAAATTTGACAGAATGTTTTGGAGTTTGAACGAAATATACAATACATAAAAAAATAAGTATGAAACAATACAAAATAAAGATAGCTAAAAATGTTAACTGTATGCATCAGTTATATTGAATAAGTTATAAGAACACTTCATGAAATACATTAATGACATTTATAAATCTAAATACATTTGCAATTGTTAAAATAAATTAATTTGTCATTTTCTTAAAATTAAAAATAATAATTTTCAAAAAATCATGCTTGAGACTGAAAAATTTGAAATCGCGTGCAAAATTATTTGAAAAATGCGTATCAGAAACGAATGCAAGACCAAAAACACAAAACTGAAAAAGATATACGATGCGGAATTTAAAATTGTAGAATTTTTATAAATTTTTTCCTACTTCCCTTTCTTAATCGAAGGTGCTGAATACCAATGTATGTAAAAAAATATGCAAAAAATACATTTTTACAACTTTTAAATTATAGTTAATCTTCAATACTTTTCATATTTTAATCAAGCTCTTGGGTACACGAAGATTTTCACACAATAGGTGAAGATACGTTGCTCAAGATCAAGATATAAACAAGATCAAGAATTTTTGAATTTATTTTTTCCCTTTTATCTACTTTTTAAAAAAAAAGAAAAACGTAGATAAAAGGTAGAAAAAACTCTTTGAATTTATTTCATGCAAACAAAAACAACTCAAACTTGATTTTTTTCATACCCACATTTGAAATATCTTTTTTTTTTCTATTTAAATTTGACGTAAATGCTCATATTGATGATTATTTTAATAAAATATTTTCAACTTATAAGTAATATAAAAATTTTCATATAATGTGAAAATTACATGAAATATATTATTGTAATGGTTTTATATCATAATCATATAATATAAAAATTCTAAAATAGAGAACCGAATAACGTCATCACGTGTTTAGAATTTATAGCATAATGGGATACTTGCGCTTCAAGAAGAAGAAGACTTCCCATACCCACACATGCGACCGATGACGTCGCCACCAGCTAATCTTTATCAGTAAAATGACGTATTAAAATTGAGCTGGGTTTCTTTACATAAGTTAGAATGTTAATTAACGATAAGTTAATTAAATATGGAGCCGTATCGCACTTCGAACTCCTTGAAATATAATTCTTTCTCGTCTACTTGATTTACTTAACTTAAATTTATTATTTGTTTATGTATTTTATTGTAACCGAGATATATTTTTGTTTTGAGTACCTGGTAACTTCGATGCATAATTAGCTTGTTTGTGTTAGACATGGCTTCGTGCCATTCATTGTGCTAAGTCTCTGTGTAAATATTTAGCGAAAGAATTTATTATTTTGAGAATTTAATCTAGCCAATTTTGTAGTTTTTACTTTATATAAAAGGTCCCACCTTCAAACTAAAGCCCATTCTCAATCGCATAGTTTAAATACGAAAAGGAAAAATGCTGTTGAAAATGAATTGGAGATATTTTTTGTTTCTTTTTAGCATATGCGTTTTGTATGCATAAAACCATGTACATAGCAAACCCAATTTCCTTAAACTCTTAAGGGAGAACGAATAAAATCTATTTAAATTTTAAGTAGCATCTGAAATAAAGCAATGCATTAATTTTAAGCAAAAGTTTTTTTTAAAAAAATAAATGCGTCACGTATTAATAAAAGAGAGAAAAATCGAGTACCGGTCCCCGATCTAATTAAAAAGTCTTTAAAGTAACAGTCTTCTAGAACTAATCATTAAAGTAACAGTCAGGTGGTATTATACTAGCATAAAAATAAATTTGACATAAATTCTTTGGCAAGTTATAGAATAAAACGTGTTATAAATTCAGAGATTTTGCTTTAATTATCTTCGCGTATTGAAGCTAATTAAGAAAATAGATTTTGTTGTCAGAAGTATTAAAAAAAAGACCTTTTTAAATATACGGAAAGACGGTAATAATTACGTTTTTTTGTAATAACTAAGAAACTTTAAATAGCTCATCAAAATTTCCATTAAAAATTTGATTTGAAATAATCAAATTTTCTAGTCTTTTCGCCGTCATGGATAAATTGCAAAAATTAAGAACAAGTTTCTTTGAATACTTATTTGAATTAAATTAATTATTTTTTGACACTTTTTTTAAACTATATAAATTAGTTTTCATGCGTGATTCCAATGAAATTTGACTTTTATAAATACGACTTTTTTAATAAGGTAAATATTTTTCTTGTTATTAAAATCTAAAAGCAGAAAAAGAAAATGACAGAATTGATAGGTTTAAATTATCGCTGCATCTATTCAGTTAAGACGACTTAAACCTCGTTAGAGCTAGAGGCAACATTTGGTACGATTTCATCATTTAAAAAAATAATATTTTAAGGTTATTTCTTCAATTTGTATGGCCTTTAAAAAGCGGTTTTATATATAAAAATATAATTGTATTTGGTCGGAGTTTTTACAGTGAAAAATCATAAGATAAGTAAGAAATTCTATTCCAGTAACTTTTTGGACAATTTTATGGCAAATAAATATCTTGATAGAGTCTAGTGAATTTTTTTGATTAAAATGTGAAAAAATACTCCATAAAAATATTCTATACATTAAGCAAAAATTGCAAAATATTTAAATTTACTGTTTTTGTATATAATTTTTAAAAAATGACTAAAAAAATTATTTGAAATTGGTTTTCAAAAAAAAAAAAGTATCGTATTTATAAGTTTATTTTCCTTTAAGCTACAGATTCCTAAGTAAAAATAGCCTTTTCTGCCTTTCTTAAGGTCTGGTTTCTTAGGACAAGCGCCTTACCTGGGCGTTAGCGGGACGTCAACGTCCCGCTGACGCCAACAAAATACTGGTTTGTTAGCTCAAGGCCTGGTTTCTTAGAACTAGCACCTTATCTGGGCGTCAGCGGGAAGTTGACGTAGAGCTGACGCCAAAAAAATTCTTTTTTGCTAGCTCAGCTTGAGCAGTCGGTTCAACGCAGACATTATCTCTCATTGCGCATGCGTTAATAACGTAAACAAATATTTATTTTGAATTTGTATTGATTTTGTTTTTGTCGACCAGTGTTTTAGAGAACAAATAATGACTTTGTTCAAGAAAAAACACATTATAGCTGAGCTAAATGAAGAGTGCTATGTTTAATGAAGAAGCTATGTTTAATGTCAAAATCTTGGCTGATTTCAATGTGCTGTTGGATGTTGTCCGCCATTGCTTCTGTGGTTAACGTCACGTTGTAATCCAACTGCAGTTGAGTTGGACGGCAATTGTAGTTCAAGATGAGCGTTCGATGACGTGCACTATCAAACTCATAAATATACCAATCAGAGGTTAGCGCTGATTTCCAGCTGACGGCGTCCTGTCCTAAGAAACCAGGCCTTTAGAAGTTCGGGAGAATTATATATGATGGGTAATAAAGATAAGCTTAATTCAGCTCGAGACGGGATCTGACATGTTTGGGCTCATTATAAGCAAGAGGTTTTCGCGTTCGAGCTCTCAGCAAAGTGCGCATGCGCTTTCTTACTTTATCTAGCAAACAAATATAGTAAATCTGTTTAGTTAAGTTCTTAAAAAATGCGAAAAAAAA